TCTTCCCCTTCCTTTCCAAAGCTTCTGTAGCCAATGCGTGCAAAGCATCAGATCTCGAATCTTTTTTAGGTCAGAAGTTCCTGATCCATTCCCTCCGGAAATCTCTCTAAAATGCCTTGTCAATTCCCAACTTTTTCTCGCTATGTTCGTTTCCAGTTGGAGCCCTTCCCCATGCTTTTCCCTGCCCAAACCTACTGTAGGCAATGCATGAAAGACCGCGAGCAATTCCTTAAATCTTCTATGCCCAGAGTGCCCAAAGTTCTTAACTGCCTCCCCTTCCCACCCCAGATTTTCCTGAGTGCTCTGTCGTCCCAGCTCTTATGTTTTGCTACTTCAAGGTTCCAATGTTTGAGCGTAGACTACTCTCCGTGGGAAGCGAATGCACCAAATTCCATGCCCCAAATCTTGTTAAGGCAAAGTGCCCAAAGTTCCCCTCCCATGCCCGTGCCCCAGAGTTCTCTTCTTGCCCTGCTGCCCCAATCCTTTCTCCTGATTCCCCCTCCCGAATTTACGAAATGAAAGACCGAGATTCACGGCGCCTTTCAAATGGAAGACCGAGATTCAATGCGCCCATTCCTTCTCCCTGCCCAAAGTTGCTGTAGTCAGTGCATACGAGAGCAACAATCCATTTTGCAGATTCTTTCATGGTCAGGGGCCCAAATTTTCTTTTCCTTTTCTGAGCAAGAGAATTTGAGCACGAGAGTGTCCACTTCCTCTCCTTTCCCAAGCTGATCTAGCCACAGGGCTGGGCAGGATTCCAAACAGACCCGTGCAAAGTGGCTTCCGCTTTACTCCTACACTATGCACACAAAGTTCCACCAACAGCATTAACTAAATGTTATCTCAAAGGGTAATGCATCTAAATAAGAATCTAATTCGTGAAAACTATCTATGGCTGTAGCAACTACCATCAATCGTGGGCAGTGGCGTACCCAGGATTTCGGCTCGGGGGGGGGGGGGGGAGGGGCGCGACAAACATTTTTTTCCGATGAAGGTGCGTGGCGTCAGCCACGCACTCCGAAAATTTTTTTGGTATGCTCTTCAAAATTTTTGCGGGCTCAGAATCCCGAAATTTCAGAAAAAGGGGGCGTGGCGTCAGCCACGCCCCCGAAAATTTTTTTTTATAAAGCTAAAATGAATTTTTAAAAAATTTTAAAAATTATTTTAATTATTTACAAGTGCAGACAAGTCATTTGCACAATTTTATAACCCATGTAAGTAACTTTCAAAAATTTCGCGACCGTTTTCGCGCATGCTGCCTCATCCCAAGGGTACCCACGATCAGTGGCGTACCGAGGGGGGGGGGGCGCGCCCCCCCCCCCCTCGGTACGCCACTGATCGTGGGTACCCTTGGGATGAGGCAGCATGCGCGCCCCGCAAGGGGAGGAGATTGCACTCGAGCGCAAAAGCTAACCTTGTTTTTGAACTCATGATGTTAATTCCCGTTCTATTCTTATGTTAGGCACTGAGTTCCGTGCTTGTATCGACTATGGAACATTGCAGATGATGGCGCGGTTCGAATGAGAAGTGTTTTTAGCAGGGACGGTGAAGCGCATGAATTATTCTAATATTAGAAGACCAGAGAAACGCTTTTGCACAGGATAATTAAGAGAATGTTGCTTATTCCTTACCCCATTTGTTTGGTTCATGACTAGAGACTAGAGGAGAAATATGTTCGAGTATGTTGAACGATGCATGCAAAGTGAGGTTCAACACATACGAGAGAAGCTTCTGTACATATCGGCAAGGGGAGGAGGTGTGGTTATCACCACGCTTACCTTTTCCAGATTTTAGGGCTATGGGCCCGCAAAAATTTTGAGATGCATCCCAAAAATTTTTCGAAGTGCGTGACTAGAGCCACGCACCTTCATTTGAACGCTCCCCCCCCCCCCCGCGGACCGAAATCCTGCGGCCGCCATTGCCGTATACCTGTCGTATCCCTATACACTATGGCACAACTGTATATTGGATATTGCGCCTCGTCGAGCTGAGTAGGATGATACTTTTGGATTCAGAAAAAATAAGCTCTAAACCAAAACAGGGCGAAATTTCAAGCAACTCTGGCTAGAATTAAGCCCCCACTGCGGTTTTAACGAATCACGGGCGGTATTTTAGAAAATACCCTCAAAATAGGTGAAAAGGGCTTTCATATCGATAACTCTCGCAAGGGAAGCTTGTTTAGTCAAAGTGGCCTTTCTAAACGAGATGTGTGCTATATTAAAGGGTGTAAAACGCTGATTCCAAATCTGTCTTCCTTGTTTGCAAGCGTTTATGGACGAGGAGTTATGAACGCTTTTTGGAGCCAAAAATTGAATGTGCATTTGAAATAAAATGCTAAAATCTTACTACCCTCGAATAATGCAACCAGAGTAATATAATTTCTATTTTAGAGTATATTTGAATAAAGTGCTTTGATGATTATCACTACTCCATTGAAGAGCTAGAAAAAGTATTACGGCCATTTTCGTCCTACTTGCACGTTCAATTTTTTGCTCCAATAAGCGCTCGCAACTCCTCGCCCATAAACGTTCTGCAGATAAGGAAGGCAGATTTGGAATCAGCATTTTATGCCATTCAGTATGGTATACATCCCATCTAGAAAGGCTACTTCGACTAAACATGCATTCCTTGTCACATCAACTTACTCAGACTAAGTGCTTGAATTATATAAGTAACCAAATTCATCTTTAGCCTTGAATATTCAGGTACTATTCTTGCTTACTGAAGAGTTCATGAATGGCGAAACGACACAACAAGCGTAAGCATATCAAGCATAAACATCACCAACTATTACTATTTGACTTGACATTCAAACCTTTGAAATGAGCAGATACACTGCTCACAATTTAACATGATAGATACTCTGGCCTTCTGTAGTAAGTTCGGAAAGATCATTCATCATTTTTTCAATGACCTGTGTTGTTTTAAGGGACTGATGAGGAACTTTCCTCGGCAGTCTGTAATTTTTGCAGTCCTCTTTCGCTGTCAGATTTGTGCGATTCAACCTGTACATCCAAGCCCCGATTACCCATTTTGTGATCACGTAAGGTGAAGACATTCATGGAGCTTCAGAGAGACATGATCATTCCAGCGATGGGGTATGTTCAAAGCTTATTTTTTGTAGTATCTGAAGTGCGGTTCATAATTATACGAACACCCAAAATTTTGTAAGTTTTCGGACTTTTTGAGAGAAACTCAAAAAGCCGTTGGTACCACGCGATAGAACACAGCCGAAAACGGTATATGATCCATAAGAAGGGAAACTGATGTCAATCTTAGGAATGTTTTTGCGATTAATGCGAATTTTTAGCGGTTCATAATTATACGAACACCTCAAATAAAGGTCCATTTTTCATTCAAGATTGCAATCACCTGAGTCCAAATTTTTTGTAGAGTTACAGTAACAAAGTCTAACATATCTGCTATACACTGAACCCAGTTGTGCAGTTCAAAAAGAGGGTCGTTACTTTTTTCAGAAGGCTCTAAATGCTTTTGGAGTGATTGTGCTCCAAAAACATCCATTCTTCTTTGGTTTACGCGCTCTAAATAGCTTTTACCAAAGCTATGAGATAAAACAAGCTCTTTCGATAGGTATTTTGTTTGACGCTTGGAAAATCTTTGCGTTTTCGTGCCGTTTTTCAACCAAGTTCCAACCTTACCACAGAGTTAGCACAATTTCGAGCCTCAATACTCAGCTTCTCTCTTGTGCAAACATTTGATATGAAGCAGCTGCATTGTTTGCACGATGATGTTTCTGCGCCAAAGTTTTTGGGTTTTTTGTAGAACTGATCTTGAGGCTGTGGAGCTACAAACCAAATAAAGGTGAGACTGCAGTAGTAAAAACAGTGTTTTTGGTGAAATGACGTCTGCATGGCCAAAACAAAAGCGCAACGCTGCTAATTTTTTCTAGCCAAATATATAGTCTTGTGAACTTCTACATACTATATGCTTACTTCACTGTCGGCTTCAGAAGCTGAGTATTGAAGCTCGAAATCGTGCTAACTCTAGGTTAAGGTTGGAACTTGGTTGAAAAACGGCACGAAAGCGCAAAGATTTCCAAGCGTCAAACAAAATACCTAATCGAAAGAGCTTATTTTATCTTATAGTTTTAATAAAAGCTATTTAGAGCGCGTAAACCACAGAAGAATGGATGTTTTTGGAGCACAGTCACTCCAAAAGTATTTAGAGACTTCTGAAAAAAGCAACGGTCCTCTTTTTGAACTGCACTGGGTTCAGTGTGTAGCAGATATGTCAGTCTTTATCACTGTAACTCTACAAAAAATTTGGACTCAATTGATTACAATCTTGAAGAGAAATGGACCTTTGTTTGAGGTGTTCGTATAATTATGAACCGCTAAAAATTCGCATTAAGCGCAAAAACACTCCTAAGATTGACATCAATTTCAATTCTCATAGATCATATACCGTTTTCGGCTGTGTTCTATCGCGTGGTATCAACGGCTTTTTGAGTTTCTCCCAAAAAGTCCAAAAACTTACAAAATTTTGGGTGTTCGTATAATTATGAACCGCACTTTAGAAGCCAATACTTAGATGTTCAGACGTTTTCAAAATCCTACTACTTAGGAGATTCAGACGTTTTTGGAAATCTTTCTACAAAAGCTGCATCTACTTCTTAGGCAAGTTTGTGGAAATCTTTCAAATTTGACTCTGATTGTGAGGCTAAAAAGAGTACCAATTTTTGGCCCCATTAATATCCCAAACGCATAAGCGTAACATATTCGGGACATGCACTTTTTTCGCATCACAGTCTGGATTGCGATAGCATCGTCGAAGAGACTTCGGACAATGTATCCGCATCGATCAGCTCGATTTGCAGTGACCCCAGACTCAACTTTTACATCTTTATGTCTCTACTGAAGCTATTTAGGTTGTGTTTACCAGCATTCTTTTGAGCGCTCTCAGTCATTATTACGGCATTTATTTTTTTATGCCAATAATTTCCCGAAGAGATTTCTATAAATTACATCCACGCAGGGTTCATGCCTACCGATTCAACATTCAAATATGCGGGTCTCATCTTACTCACTCTTCAGCAGGCCAGGTGGTTATTATCTCTTACAGGTTTCTTCCATTCATCAAACTTTATGTACGAAATCAAAAGTGATTAACAACAGCAGGGTCCTGATTACATGATCTTCGATAGTATAGTAATCATTGAAACATCGCGGTGGAATACACAAAAAAATTAACGGTAAAATTTTGGTGAAAGAGGCGCAAAGTGTACAAAACTCTCCAACTTGAGCTGCGGTCAGAATCCACTGAAATATCAAAAGAGGACAAAGTGAAGCATCTAAGTATTCAGTGGATCAATTTGTTTTTTTTTTGCTTCGTTTGTCATGATAATTAGCTGTAAGAGAATGTACCGCAAATATGCATTCAGAAATACTTTTCAGTAGATCATGCCCTTGAAGTTGCAACCACGCTATGATTACTGAAATTTTGAGTGTCTTAAACTTCCAAAAGGGTGATATTAGCGGTACTAATCAAGTATCAGTTTTGATCAATCAGCCGTACCAAAGTATTTGTTCAAAAAATGTCGTTTTAGCATGCCGCTCATGGCTCGATATACAAGGTACAAGCACGAATCGGAAGTATTCCTCACTACTGTTAATGTCTTTATGATGGAAGTTATAAAACTCTGTACTTGCACGGCTGTCATAATCTGCTCATCACGATCTTTGGTCAAGTAAGTTCTTTGCATCTGACTCTGTCACTTTTTGTAACACGGCAACGATGGCCGCGACATTGCATTAGGTAGACCCCCCCCTCCCTCCCCGAGAATGTGTCGCGAAATTTTTGAAAGTTACTTACATGAGTCATAAAAAGATGCAAGAGCCTTAATACTTGTAAGTAGTTAAAATAATTTTTGAATTTTTTAAAAATTCAATTTAGCATTATAAAAAATTTTCTTCCGGAAGAGTGGCTGACGCTACTACCCATTTTTCTAAAATTTTGGAGTTTTGGGCCCACGAAAATCTTGAGAAGCCTACCAAAATTTTTTTCTGGGTGAGAGGCTAACGCCACGCACTTTCATCGGAAAGTTTTTTTGCCCTCCCCCCCCCCGCCCGAGTTGAAATCCTGGGTACGCCACTGGTGGATACATAAGTGCACTAAAATATTGATTTGTTCGGAAAATAATGTTGCTTCAGGGTTTCGGTGCTTGGTATGTCTCTAAAATTTCCGCTTACAAAACTCTTAAATTTCATAATTGTATCCATTTCAATCTTTATACTAGAGAATCACTACCTGAGAAAAGCTCAGTATTATTTCAGTAGAGCCATATTGAATTTAGTTTTCTCGACTTCTAGCCATAGAATAACCACGAAACTATGCGTAGCATACGAGTCCCTTATGTAAAGAGTGTATGCGTGATCAAATTCGAGGTCCATAGGATTTTTTTGAGCGGAGACACGCTTTTTTCGATTTTTAGGCGCTCAATACCTTTTCAAATTTGACTTTAGACTTCACAATGAAAAATGGTGCAACGTTTGAAGTTTATCGTGTACACCTTGTCTTGCTCCATTAAATAGTGCCCAATTCACTTATTGTGCTTACGCTGATGCGATATTGCATGTTATTAGATGACGCGACATTATTCTTCGATCATCTCAACACTAAACAATCGCAAATTCTACTTAACGAATTCTTTTGATTTAATATAACCTGAAGGAGAAACATGTGCGTATCACGGAAATACCAGCTGAGAAGAGGAACACTGTAATTGTATAATCTCAAATTTGAAAACACTGAAAGGATCAACAAGACCTAACTCTAGTTTTGCTGGATTCACCATGTCTATAGTAATTGAATATATCTTCTAAGATCATGGCTTTCGAGTTTTCCAAATTTTCCAATTTTTTGGTATTTTTCCATACTTTCTTGGTAGAAGGCTTGGAAGTGAATGATATTATTTTGTTACTTCCGGTTACTTTGGTATTCGTTACCTTTGGCTTCAAATCGTGCATAAGACAATAACGTTGTTAATTTTTGATCTAAAGTACTTTATCTCTCTTCGATTCAAGTGGAACTCAGAACCATAACTTCTTCAATGTTCAAATCTGTTATTGAATTTTATAGGTCCTTTGCTGAAGTAAAGGAGGCAATTTTTTCAAATCCTGTTGAAACCGTCAAGGTTTGCGTGCCTGCTGTGATCTACACTCTACAGAATAACCTATATTACATAGCACTGACGCATCTGGAAGCAACCACGTTTTGCGTAAGTTCAAATTTATTTATTCTATGTACACAACTGAATAATACTTTCTATCTATTCATGTTTTGAATGGTGAAATGCGTCTCAACATTCCTACACATAAAATTTTGTTCTTTTCATCAATGTGTCATACGAGCAGTCTAGAGACAACTCACGACAGCCACAAATGAGCATGTGCTTGTGCAATTAGAGGTCGTTCAAATTTCGTTCTCGGCGAGCCACTTCAAGCACACATTTCATCAAACAAAGCGGTCGAGCGACCCAGATGCTGGTAAAAAGCTAGCGCTCACTTTTGTTTCGATCGACGGGGACCTTCTAGAGAGCAAAAGACGCTAAATCGTGATATCAAAAATTTCTGAAGGGATTAGGAATGCAAAAATGAGCATTTGTTTTGCTCATCCTTTTGGAATTGCACACATTTGATTTGAAAACTCGTTATTCGTGAGAATCTCGTTCTCTATGTAAAGACTCGATAGCGCGGAAATTTTCTGCACTTCATTTGCTCTGTTAGATTCCTTGCGAAGCAAGAGCAAGTGGTTGGGAAAAAAAGGATGAGGAGTTTTTCTAGAAAAACTATGCAGGTGTGTAGAAGCATGTAGAAACCAAGGAAAAATTGTTGAGTTATTGCTGAACTTCATCCTGTATATTTCCCAATGGAAGAAAATTACTGTCGTGTCTATGCGGTCAAGTTGAAGACACTCATATGTCTTGTTCATGCAGTCATAAAAAATATTTAGGTCGCTTACCAAATGAAAATTTTCACCACTGCAGTATTTATGTACTTCTTTCTTGGCAAAAAGCTATCGACTAAACAATGGATAGCACTGATGATTTTGGTGGTGGGTAAGTTATCCTTGTCAATGAATTTTGTGGAAGTTCAAGAACTTTCTTAGCTCTGAATTTATTCTCAGTCTGGTCGAATTTTCTCATCCTTATAATTCAGGAGTGGTTGATGTGCAGCTCGTTTATGCTCCTTCCAGCTCGAAAGAAGCCGTTGAACAAAATCCCTTTCTAGGCTTTACCAGCGTCGTGGTGATGTGCTTTACATCTGGTTTTGCAGGCAAGTTCATGCCCAAGAGCAGCGTCAGTTTCAAAATCATTGATTCCATTCAAAGTTTGATAATTTTTGTGTCTTTGAAATATTTGCAGAATTTAGTAAAAGAGAACCAAGAAAAGGCATCCAATATCAGATGATGTAACTGTTCAAAATTCAACTGCCAAAAATCGCAAATCTTGTAAACAGACGTTGATCCGGTTCCGGTTTAGTCAGCAGAAAATATTATTAGGTTGTCAAGAAAATAATGTCCGTTCTTATTTGCTTGCTTTGAGAAAGCAACCAGACTCAACCCAACAAATGATAATGGGTACTGTTCGATAGAGCAAAGCAAGCTCTACAAGATGTCACTCATGTCCTTGCGCCATGCTCGATCCATGGAGAGTTCGAACTCAAAATCTAAAGATTTCCATATGCCCAAAAAATCGAAAAAATCAGATCTTCGTCCAAATAATTTCTACGGACCTCCCACTCGCTCACATCAATACTATCGATATCTGATATCCATATGTCGATTGCCGTATTTTTTCCTTGACTAGAAACTGAGAAAACGAAAATTTCCCTGATTTTCTCGAAGCAATGCTGAGCCGTTTTTGCATATGTAGTTCTATACTACAAGCCTAGGTAAGCATAACTGTAGGTTTTCAGCCTATTTCGAGCGGCACTTTTCGAAAAATGTCGATTTTAGCACTGAAATTGAAACGAAAAAATCCGAATTCGTTATTTTTCGAAAACTACCGCTTGGAATGGGCTGAAAACCTACAGTTATGCTTACCTAGGCTTGTAGTATAGAACTACATATGCAAAAACGGCTCAGCATTGCTTTGAGAATAAAAAGGGAAATTTTCGTTTTTTCAGTTTCTAGTCAAGGAAAAATTACGGCAATCGCACACATGGATATCAGATATCGATAGTATTGATGTGAGCGAGTGGGAGGTCCGTAGAAATTATTTAGACGAAGATCTGATTTTTTTCGATTTTTTGGGCGTTTGGAAATCTTTAGATTTTGAGTTCGAACTCTCCGTGGATCGAGCATGGCGCAAAGATATGAGTGACATCTTGTAGAGCTTGCTTTGCTCTATCGAACAGTACCCCTTACCCTTTGTTGGGTTGAGTATGGTTGCTTTGTTAAAGCAAGCAAATAAAAACGGACATTATTTTCTTGACAACCTAATATTATTATTATTACGTTATTCTATGAAAACGGGAAAGCCTTTGAGAGTACCAGAACATTTTTTTTTGACTTTTAGGTGTTTATTTGGAGAAGGTGCTGAAGGAAAGCAAGGCCTCCGTATGGATTCAAAATGTGCGATTATCACTTATCGGCCTACCTGTGTCTATTGCATCTATGTGGTTCTATGATTGGCAAAATATTCAAAATGGTGAGGTTTTATTACTTTTTTGTTTTATATAAAGCCGCAAACTGAGGGAGTAATTTGTGCAGCCGATTCGAAGGCAGAATGATGTTTTTGATGGGTGTGGTGCAAGAGAAACGATAAAAATTGCCAGCCGCTGGTGCTAATGCACTATTTACCTTCACAATTCGCAACTTGCAAACTTATACACGATAGTAGATATGATTTTGATGCTCTACCCAATAAGTTTTGCTCAAATCCCGGTGGTGTGTGCAATTCGATGATGTTCTTACAGGAATAAGCTTGAAATACTTGAAGTTTCACCTTTGAGACCCTTTCTTGACATTTTCTGCCAATTTCACACCTCATTTTCAAACAAACACAATCTATCCGATTCTCCTATCTAGATGAAAGCATAAAAGAAGGAAATGTTCTAAATTTTTATGTGGTGATAAACGAAAATGACGGTTAAGTAAGCGCGAGTTATTGACACCCGCCAGCTATCGTTTCTCTTGCTCGCCACCCGTTTTTGATTTATCGGTAGCATGAATATCATATGATGTTCCACTGGACCAAGAAATAACGGAATTTTTTGACCACTGAATCAACAGAACCATTATTTTTTCTTTTATTCTTTGCGGGTTTTATTGATCCTCTCTCAGCTTTCTGAATCACCCTGGATTTCAATGAAGTCAGGAAAGACTCTCAACCCAAACAAATCACGTCTTTAGCAGATGTAGCTTTCGTCTAATTTTCTCTTACTTGGGAGCTTGAAAATAAAATTTCTAGATCTGATAACAAATCTTTCATGAAATAGAAATATACTGGTTTTGTTAAAGCTTTTTATGAACTACGGGAGGCTACCTAACTTAGCTCGGCCCTTTGGCAAGGGACATATATAGTCTGAATCAGCTTCAACGCTGATTCCAAATATGCTATTTCTAGCTGCCACGCACCATCCAAAGCGAGTTATGGGCTTTTTCGTGCGCAAAATTAACATGCTCATCAACTCATGGGCATCACATTACCATCATTAAAGTGCTGATACACATGCGTTAAGCTTTTTTTATTGAGAAAAGATTGAATTTGTACTATCTCGATGCCTCAGCACCTTTTTCGTGCGGATTTTTATCTACAGGCAGTCTTCTCATATTCAGCAGTATGCTAGTTTCGCGTAGAAAAAAGCCCATAACTCGCTTCGGAATGGTGCATGGTAGCTAGAAATAGCATATTTGGAATTAGCGTTTGAAGCTGATTCAGAATATATGTGTCTTTTATCAAAAGGCCGAGCTAAGTTAAGTAGCCTTCCTTATAAGATAGAGACTCATCTTATCTTCATACATCCATGAACATCATATAGCCACTCTAGTAATACTTAGCTCTCTTGTAGTAAATCATAGTAGTACATATAGACAACCACCGCATTTTCAACCCATTGACTCAGTAATATGATAAATCTGTGTTAGAGCAAAACTTCATTGATTTTCTGCCACCTAGAAAAATTGCAGTGTTTCCATCGTTTTTCAGTCTACTTGATCAACCCACACCTTACTCAAAGATACTTCCAGATGGATTTTTCCGAGGATGGGATGTCCTCGTGATCTGCTTGACAATAACGAATTCCGTTGGTGGACTTCTTATCTCAATCGTGATCAAGTATGCGGACAACATCTTGAAAGCGTATGCACAGGTGAGAAAGTGAAACGGGTCTCGGGAAAGCACATAAATAGATCAGCAATGCCTACAAAACAAAAAAACCTTGAGTAGAAGGGACCTACTTCAATTCAATTCGTTATCATTCGGAAGAAATATCTGCTTTTTCACTTAATCTATGGAAAAGGAGACGCATGGTTTCAAAGAAAATTTCAAGATTGTCAAAATCACAACCTTTTGCGAGTAGTAGATATCAATTTTTGAACTTACCACTACTGAATTTACAGCTCTTTTCTTTACAAAGATCATTACGTATAGCATCAATTTGAATATTTTCGCCGATTCAAATTGGACAAATTTTGAGATTGAATGTGAGTAAAAAGCATGCTTATACATGAAATTTCATTACAGAGCATTGCCATCATCGGTGCCGCAATTGGCTCGTGGCTCCTTTTCGATTTCGTCCCTGGGTTCTTCTTTACACTTGGAGCCACATTAGTCATATTATCTATTCTTTTGTATACAAAGTACCCATATGAGCCGCCCAGCTTTGATCTCAAGCAATTCAGCAGCTCCAAATCTGATTTACTCATGATCAAGACGTCAAAAGGCTGAATTGTGACTCTACTAGTTGTTGTTGTGTTGTTTATCATGTAGATTTACTATGAAAATTCAAATTCGCTGCAGCACGAAGCAGTGCCCTGATCTGCGTCCATTAAACGTACAGCTTGAGAATTATCAAAATATGCGTTTCTCACACTATAGTCATCATAATCAACACACGACAGCTCGACCCACATAGTAGGCCTCTTTTTAAACCATATCTTCAGAGATAATCCTTATAAGGAACAGAAGTCTCAGACAACTCATGTGAACTTCCCAAGGACAAAAAATTCGGCAAAGTCCCCGAGGGCTTCGATTGGTACTGAGAGTGAAGGAAGGAGCAAAATTTTGAACTTTCCGAGGATCCCGGAAGTCTTTGAACTGAGTCTTTGATCTGAGTACCTCAAATCACTTAAGAATAAAAAGCAGACACATCCCGAATGATTACCGTAACGCCAGCGTAGTTGCAGCTGTCCCCTTGCCGTTTATTAGCGTTTTTTCTTTACGACTCAGAGGCGCCGAAACAGTTTATGCGTATACATCGCCCTGTCAATGTTAACTCTCCCAAGGCTCGGCACATGTGGCTTGTAAGCAAGCTGAATATATTTTTTACGACAAAAAGCAAAGGAGGTATCGTTTTTGAGGCCGAAAAGACACAAAAATTGTTAAGTATTTTTTTAGTCAGGGTTTCGCTTTTTGTTTTTACGATTAGGGTTTAGGGTCAAAGGGGGCTTTGTAAAAATGCGCGAAAGTCAGAAGGAACTTCGTTTTTTTACATTTTCCAAAAGCCACCTCGGCCAAGCCCTGGTCTCCCCTCAAGATGGATACTAGCCGGATGACTCACTTGCTAGTGCTAAAACATTTTATTACAGATGAACGAATAAAACATAGAAACGAGCATCTACACGAGTACAGAATTAGCATCTAAAACAGGGTTTTGCACAACCTTATACTCACATATGTATACATCTATCCACCAAAACAATTATCAAATATGTTACACGAGATTAAAACCGATGTATAAGCAAATCATTGATACACATTTAATTTCAATATATTGATGACTAGTTATGTCCTTACGAAAAACTCGTCGAAGAGGGAATAGTCGATATCCGAGACCTAAATTGGAGAAAACAATGTGTGGCTGTCATTTACAGCAAAAATCTTCTCTTTCCGCTTCAGTGCTACTTTTCATATAAGTACTTAAATGCCTTTGCAAACTTTGTATTGATTGCAATAAATTTGCCTCAAAGGTTCCCACACTTAAAATATTAAGTGAGCTGTCATCTACTTTCTCTATCTCGTTTTTGTAAATGATTGAATGTTCGGTATTCCTCCAAAGCATAAGAACACTTACTTGAGAATCACAGGCTGTCTGTAACGTCTCTGGTCCACAATTGTCTCCTTGAGATACGAAGTTTTGCTGATCCAAGTCCAGTAGATAACGTTCCGTGCTCGGTGATAAGTGTTCGGGTAAACGTATAGGCGAACCCAGTAGATCATGGTAGGTCACCATAAAATCACGTTGGGAGTCGAAACTGCCGTCGGTGCTGGAGTTTTGAACGCCGACTGCGGGAATTACAAATTGTTCGCTGGCTGTTATTTCGCCACCTAAAAATAATTAGAAATACGCAGACTTAATAAATGCATTACTTGGATTAAGAATAAATCTAATGATTTTCTGCTGAAGTTAGGCTTCAACTTCCTGCCCTACCTCCTACTTTTTTCGGTTCACATTGTGTACTCGAATTCAATAAAATGAGTATAACTTTTTACCATTATTATGGGCTGTGGGATTCCGCTCGCACATAGGCTGACCGACGGTAGCATACTCATCGGAAGTTTGCTGAAAGGGCTAAGTGATAGCTGATTACCAGAGGAGTGAGGGACTTATCCTACATATGAACTCGTAGGAGTAGAATTTAGGGTTTGGTTGGGAACGATGTCCCGATCACTGCCATCCCAACTACTACATGTTGGAACTGATGACGATGAACTTCGCTCTGAAGATGTAGGGGAGTGTTGAAGCAGTGGTGTCCCAGCACGGCTACCATCCTAAATCTCTCAATATTGGCATTTTGCCTACAGCGGAACTTGTTCGACCTACTGGAGCTTGTAGATTGATCACATTGCCCAAGGGACGAACAAGTGTAAGTGGACGAGTTGTATGTTGCTTAATCCTGAACGGTTTCTCGACCAAAAGCTAAATGTTTTGAGTCAATTACCAATAAGATTTGGCAAGGTTCACTCTCATATCACTTGCTGGTTTATAAGTTTAGTGCATTTTGAGTCCAAGAGATTCATGACAACGTTAACGGTTATGACATTATTGGCCGGGAATATAGCCCACGGACTAAATCGCACATGGAGGGAAAATGACTGATTTTTCTTTACTTTAGAACTGATAACGATTTTCAGCTTTTGCATGGGGTTTGGCTAGCATTTCGTGAACATTATTTTTCTTATCTGAATTTGTACTCATGCCTCCCAGCCCTGCCTTCAAATTCTATTGATTATGTGTTTCGAAGCTTCCTTAGAAAAATTTGTTCTTACACTTCTGTGAGCAGAAATTTTTCTGCTTGAAACTTTAGGCATTCCACCTGGAAAAAAGCTTGTTCATTAGTTTGTTTGGTCGCTTGTATACAGCAAAGCCAAAGGGTTTTGTTCTACAGTACTCGAGGCCAGGGCTCGGCACAGCTGGCACCTGGTCAAGCTGGATATCGTTTTTAGGGCGGAAAGCAAAGGGGATATCGTTCTTCTAGGGTCCGAGGCGGAGAAGTGCCGCAAGAATGCCGCCGGCATGCTGTCCATCAACAAACAAAGGCGTTGTTTTCAGCCAAATCGCAATAGTATGACACCAAATTTGATGTGTGCGTGCGCGTTGGTGGACCCGAACTATGGCCCAAAAATTTATGAAATTATGTGAATGAAAGCTGTGCTGAACTTTTTTCTGAATTAGCTGGCACCGTGCCAGGTGGGTGCCAGCTGAGCTGGCACCGGCACTTTGCTCAAATTAGTTTTCATACTTTTTTACATGAAATGTCTCTACACTGTAAAAGTCTACATACAGAGAAGAAACAATTTCATAATGTTTTCTTTTCAACGTTTTATAGCCATCTGAAAATTACTCGATCTGCTCCGCAGTCGAAAAATCGGCTTTTTTTGCTTCTCTAGATGTGGCTCAACCACTGAAAAAGCTCAGAAAGCTGTGAAAAGTTGTTCCATGAAGTCAGCATGCATGAAAACCCTTTACATACCTTTACATAATTTGAAAATAATGACGGGTCTTCAGAACAGGTCAAAGGGGACTTCGTACGAAATTTTCAAAATCAAACGGGACTTCGTTTCGGAATTTCCCTGGTGCCAGCTCGTGCCGAGTCCTGCTCGACGCTGAAAATTCCACCAAGAAATTCCTCACTCTGGATTTTCTGGCAGCTGATTCGCTTTAACGAAAATGTACCAGAAATTTCTGCCGTAATCTTCTAGTGATAAAAAAACGATGGGTGAATCATATTGCATTTGAAATCTATTGAAACCATCATAAGATGCTATCTCAAGATCCTCGAAAGCTATTCATACAAATAATTAGCAGTTGAACACTCAATACATTTCTTAAACACGCTGCGTGTAAACCCATCATCTCTAGCAAAAAATAAGTTAAGAAGTTTCGAGGCTTTGTCTGTGAACTATGATGATGTTTACTTACCTCATCGTTACTAGGGCGCTTATCTAGATTTGTACCCAATGCTGGTGAATACTTCAAATTCTGCTGGCATACCATCTTTTTCACTGGGTACAAAACTGTTCGTTCTGCTGTTGCCGCCTGAACAGCTTTCTTCAATTTTTGCGAGAAAACCCTTCTGCTCCTTTCCTAAACTGTCTTAGAGAGGCAACGAGTAAAATTCCAGAAAAAATAGTCTTCAATACAAACGAATTTTTGAAAAATGCTAAATTGCTTAGCAATGATGTTCATTTATCTTGTCGTTTCCGACCTGATTAGTCATTCAAATGAAGTAGTGGTGGAGAAAAATGACATTTATGCTTCTATTTACCTTCAGGCTTACTGGCTTTAGTTGCTCACTTTTCCGTATATAAGGTCCATCGCAGGGATAGATCTCGATTCCATTTACGTTCTGAAAAAACAAAAACGATGCTGGGATCTATTCAAGAATGTAACACACACACTAACTTTTTTCAGTATCAAAGGCTGTCTACCATACTTTATTTCGTCCCATGACTTCACCTGAAATAGAATTAGAGTGTATAAACACGCAACTTTGTCGTTTGTATGTAACTCAGTAGTGCAAGCCATCAAAATATTACGTTTTTTACTTCCCCGTGGCCTGTGCTCCATCCAGAGGAAATTGCGAAGGACGGTGCAGAAGTAGTTTTCATTTCTATTCAAGCCTACTGCTTCCAATAGCATCAATCTGAGGTCGCATACAATTAGAGGTCGAACAAACGAAAAGTCAGCCAGAAATAGATTGTTGTAAGCAAAGCTTTTGGCTGAGTAGGCTGTAAAATATAAGATTATTTCTAAGTAACACCCTTTAAAGGATTTATTCTTCCACAAATCCTTTTCTTTTCCTTTCTCGCTATCAAAAGCCGAGCCCGGCTACTATACCATCTTCACAATTTCTCTTGTCATATTTGTTTGATGTTTTGCTTTCCCTTTCCCTTTCATAAAGCAGTAATTTTCTTGAAAAGGATAAATTTTGCAATTTCCTTCTCTAACCCCTTTCCTTTGAAAGGCTGCATCGAGAATTTTATTTATCAACAAAAAATCTATACACCTATATTTATTGAAGATCAGAGCCCTTTTCAAACATATAGACAGCAGTTCCGAATTTTCTGCCCACAACCTCTTTCAAGAGTAACTCGTTTGGCCACCACCGCGTTTTCCAGTTGGCAAATTTTCGACCAAAAACTTTTTCTCTCGCTCTCCCTTCAAAATACAAAAACATCAACAGAATATACAAATCAAACGTCATTATAATGATGCTCTAACGAGCTTTTACAAATGACCTTAGTGCTCTAAGCAATTGTGCGGTCTATAGCAAATGTAAGAAAGCTTGAACAAAATGGGAACGATCTTCTGAGACCATGATAAGATTGCCAAAAACCTCATTTCGCAGCTCATTTCATGTGTAGCAAGCCTATGAGTTCGAAATAGCATCTTTAAAATTAAAAATTGACTAAACCTTGAGACTTCGGTTTTAACATTAGGATACAGAGGGAGAAAGAGAGAGAGAGAGAGAGAGAGAGAGAGAGATGCAAAGTTCTTCATTGGTACGATTCCACCTTTTTAAATGATTAATTTAATTTTGCTTGCTTTTATATACACTAACTCTGCGGATATCATGAATAGAATTTATGATCCTGAGAAAACTTGCGGACCAAGACACTAGCTGGACACATAGATTTGCTATAGTCTAAAAAAGAACTGTTCAATTCCTTGTCATTTTGCAAGTAATTCGTTTTTTCGACATTTTAGTCTGAAGTTCTATCTGGTCAGCGAGCTTATTTCTACTGAAACAATGCAATTTTATTATCGCTTGTAATCGTAATCTGATGTGTAGAAGTCTATCAATTATTTTAGTTCTATTTTTGACGCACATGTGATCAAAAACATGGAAAAGGAAGACTTTGTTAGTTTGAAGAAACAATTCTAAAATTACCCAAACATTCAAATTGATAGGTTCATCACCCTTACTGTCAAACCTCTTACGCACAGGTAGAGTAGATCTGGAAAATTGTTGAACTTAGCCAGCACTTCCATGTTTCTTTCCATACCAGACAGGAGATAGCCTACAGTGCCTTAGATTCGGGCTGACACTATGCCAGCCGTTCCCCAGAGGCAGCTGGATCGGAGATCAAACGAGGAAGAAACCCGCGTAAAACCTGAGCGGCAAGATTTTTACCGCGAAAAGAAGGCGCGAACGTGTCCTTATAAGAAGGGGCGTCAGGCCAATGAAAGTAATTTTTTGTATCGATACACCTTCAAAACAAAGTTCTTGTAAGTTTAGTACAAATTTTTTAGAGTCAAGAATCTTACTTTTGACAGAACAAGAGTCAAACCAAAGTATAATAAAGGCACTAAACAAAATGATCCAAAAAATCAGTTATGTAAGTCGTTTGTCGTAAAGTGAGAAGTGTCAAACGAAGCAAACACGGCCTATCTCAGCACACAGTTACGCCTACGGATACAGCAGAGCAATTGACCTACAACTTGATGGACCATCAGATGCCACCTTGCGTTAATAGTGTGAGAACAGCATGGTGGTAAACGTTTTGGAAGCGATCCAAGAAAATGTTGCTACGAACTAAATCAAAAATGGCGACGGATTTTCCGAGATATAGAGTTAGTGCACGTTTATCGATTAGAAGTTTGACTATAGCGCAGTCGATCTAAAGTGTAAGATGTGATAGGTTGGCACATAAATTTTACAACTAATTTTGTAAATTTTCTCTTTTCGAGTGAGGAGCATTCGTTTTTGGACATAATGTCGATTATAGGTAGTAGACTACAAATGTGCGCAAACGGTTTGACGGTTTCGCAAATGGTCATGTAATGAAGTCAAACTAGACTTTAGCTTGAGGGCAGGTAGAGAAAGGGATATCACAAAACATGTTGAACTCACACAGACATGCTCACCTGCTCACCAAGTTACATGACTAACATGCTTCAAAGTGTTGTTTCTCAAAAAATTCGCCAAAATCAAAATAATGCTTTATCAGACAAAAGGGTTGTATACAGCGCATATGTCATCACCAGGGCTCGGCACAGGTGTCTTGTAAGCAAACTGGATATCGTTTTTGGAAGAAAAAGCAATGGGGCTTTCGTTTTTGAGGGCGAAAAGACACATAAAATGCGAAGTTTTTTTACGGCGTAAATATTAAAGTCAACTTTATTTTTTTTTGCATTTTACAAAAGCCACATCGTGCCGAGCCCTGGTCATCATATGACACCAACTTTAGTCTAATGTGTAGAATATCACTGCCAATTATTTATGTAGAAAATATAGAGAAATCATGTGGTTCAATACCTCGACTTTGATGGTTCCTAGACCATCACGAAACCGAGTGGTTCGGAGCATGGATAACGGAGAGTTCACATAAGTTTCCTACCTTTTTGGCTTGGAGCATCTGAGCGCTCAATCTTATATATAAAGCTGATTGTCTATCTGTATGTCTGTATGTCTGTATGTCTGTCTGTACGTATGTGCGGAATAGAAATTTTTATTTCTGAACCGATTCGGACCAAAATTGGCACACATATACTTCGGGGCAGGGAGCGTGTCATAGGCTACTTTTCGTTATCGATCAATATCGATTTTATCGATTTTTTGCAAAATTTGAGCTACATGGCTGGGAGTTGGTACAGGGCATGCTGATTACAAATATATTATCGACAGGCCCGGGCGGAGCCGGGTTTGCCAACTAGTCTATAATAAAAAGATCAAATTAAGCCAATGCTTCTCCTCTTTTTTGGACCATAAGTATATGATCAAAAATAAAATTTTGTGGATTATCGCGCTCCAATTTACGACTGAGCGGGTTATAAACTAAGCTTCAGGTAAGACTTCTAATCATCTTCCCTTCCAATGCACAATTTGCTCTTGTAAGTAAAAATGCAGAGAGATTCTGTTTCATTTCCATAATGAGCTAGAGTCATGCTTTTTGAAAATCTTTTCTAAGAATCTGTACGCTTACGCTTCTTTGTTAATTGAAACGCAGAAGAATTTCTTTGTTGGATTTTTAAACATTTTCCCGTCTCAAAGTTAGGATAATTGCGCAAAGTCCTAGAAAACTTTGTTTTGGAAATGCTCAGGGGCAACATATGGGCCCTGAAGATGTCTGCAATGTTTATTCATAAGATTTCATGGAATTTCTCTGCCTGATAAATACCTCACATGCTTGCACATACCAAACATGATCCCTTACTGTTCTTTACTTATCATAACCAAGCTATTTTTATTCATTTTATTCGCTGCTGAAAGTTGAGCTTCGCGCCTTTTGAAAGCAGTGATTAGAGCGTAAAAATGGTGCGTGCGATTCATGATTATACAAACATCTCAAATTTTGGAAAATTCTGGACTATTTGGAAAAAACTCAAAAAGTCGTTGGTACCGCGCGAAAAAACACAGCCGAAAACGGTATACAAAAAGAAACGCTATATACAGGGTGTCCCAAAAGTATGTATACACTGTTCAATCGTCAATGTCTCTGCTAAGCGGTCTTTTGTCTACCTTCAGGTACCTATGTATAGTGCTGGCTTCAACTTAGACTTGCGGTATGGAGCGAGTCACCAATCGCCGCTCACTACTGTAGGATTAGGGTAGGAACTTTGAGGAGGGTTTTGAGTCATTAAGAGCCATATTTTATCTCAAAAAAAGAACCAGAGAGGATGAAAGCTGCTATACTGTGTTAGCAAGGATCACTAATTTTAATTGTCAAACTCGCAATTCATCTAAATGCTTTTTTTATAAGTTCTGCCAGATAAACCGTCTAAACACTTCTTTGATCTTGGTGAAGAATTAGATATACCAACTGTGAAGCTCTGAAAACTTGTAAATTGTTCTGTAGTAATATAAGCGTGCGTGAAAATCTCGTCACACATTTTTTAAAATTTTTTGGAAAAATTTCTTTACAAATGGCCCATGTCGCAGTGGAGCCATTTGCTGCGAGTTTCTACTGTAATATTGCAATAAGAAAGAGCTCATGGTGATTCGCTCCATACTGCAAAATCTAAGTTGAAGCCAGCTCTACAGATGGTATCTACCTGAAGGTAGGCAAAAGGCTTGGAAGATGGATATTAACGACCAAACAGTGCACACATACTTTTGGGACACCCTGTATATAAAGATGTGGTAGGTTTTCAAGTCTCACTATACTTAAGCTCTTGGGAACGCATAGCAGATGCACAGTAAGTGGGTGTGGACCCTAACTTCGCTCGGTCACCTTCCAATGTGAAATTCTTTCGATTATAACTCAGTGAGACTGCTCGACTGCCTCGGCTTGCAAACATCAGTTCCGAAAAGCAAATTTGGAGAAAAACATTTTGAACGGACATTAATGACAGCTACAGCACTTCCGGGTTTTTTCGAAAACTTCTAACACATAATAAAGAAAAATTGTCCTTTGACGTAATGCCTCATTCTGTGATTCTTCATCGAGTATAAAATACGTTGAAAGGCCTGCTAGTTTGTTCCACCTACTGTGTAAATTCCCCGCTTTCCCACTCTTTTTTCTTATGGTTTGTATGAGTAGATACAAACAAACATGACTGACATCTCTCGTCAGTTGATGCATCAGAATGTTTGCACTAACGTACTGGAATTTTGAAGCCGTGAGATTTCGCGCATTGTCTGCAAGTTCTCATATCAAGTTACGAATGACCGCGCATATGTCAACGAAATAGTCGCCCTACGCAAAACTCCTCATTTTTCATTCTTGTTTTTTTTTCAAATTTTTCTCAACATTGTCAAGCAGTTCTTGTTTCAGAGCGAAACCCCTTTCCTCGAGCTAGACGCAATTCTTTCATCTTCATTATCTACAACACAAACCCGGTAAGCTGCACAGAAACCGATATGTATGAGATCACTGTTTCTGACATTTAACTGTGGTGCAGAAGCGAGGACAAAAAGCATAGAGTCATCGAGGGCAAAGCAGATCATACTCGAACATCCAAATATCTATATACAAGCAAATTGGCTCAGCAAAGACAATAGGTGATTGCTTAAAATACGCGACAAAACCGATGAAAGAGGATACAGCAAAAATTAAGAAATGATGGAATGATTCGAGCATTTGCTCAAGGCCGATGGGGCTTCGATAAGGCAAAAGTTAAATTCTAGAGCCGCATCAGCACGAGGGGCAATCGGAGAGTTTGGGAGGGGAGGAGGGGTTAAAAGCTGAAATTTAGCGGCTCTCGTGAGTTTCGGACAACTTCGGATTCGGACAACCATTGGACGTTAGCCGACCACTTGCTTTTCGCTTCCATTCGTCCATATAACCGCATTTCATGCCATCAACCTAAAAATACAGCTTTTTTGTTTAGGGCTGTCACCAGTGGTTTAGCTTTGGTGCCAAAAGCAGTGGAGCACAACTTACCACATAACTGATAAGCGTTATCCAAGCTTTAGCAGATTCCCTCTTTGATCGTACACATTCCATTTTTGTAATCACTTCAGTCAAGCACTCTCCCAGTTGGTCCCACAGTGGTCCACAAGATTTCTCACTGATATTGACGTGTGAGCCACCTATATCCATGCATCGAGCCTAAAATGTGTGCTGTTAGATTTTGAGAATACATCACTAGTTGTTTAGCAAAAGATGCTTTGTGAGTAATTCTGTGAAAATAAAACGCATTCGCGTTCCTAGGTTTGTGTTTTCGTCCTGTAGGAGTCTGCATGCAAAATGACCTCTATGAACAGCCATATTCAGAAAATTTATAAGATTATTGTTTATGGCTTTTACCATGGCTAGACTTTCGAAGGCTCAAGTATCTGCGGGATATCGCAATTCTTACAATAAACTTTGATTCAACTGGCCTGGCGGCTGGAAGGAGGGGCTGTGTGACCTAATTAAGGCCCTCGCGCCCGCGACGCAGTTTGCGTCTTCCCCACGCGTGTACTCTCTGATCATTACCTAACCTTAATAAGGTCACGAAGCCCCGCCTTTCAGCCGCCAGCCAATTGAATCAAAGAGTATAAAAGCTCCCCACCGGAAACATTAGCTCCACAAGCACAGTATTTTTCTCGAAGCCACGATTTCTACCATTTTTGATTAATTGCTGATCGACAAATATCTTAATTTTTAGAATTTCGAGTAATTAACGTACACGCGCTTCAATCATGCGATCATCTAGCTTCATTGTCTTTTAGAAATGGGTTGAAGTGCCGACTGCACTCAGCTGCTTTGATATTGTAGAAAGTTCACATAGGTGATTTCGAAAAATTGTAAACAATACAGAGGAAACTGAAGAGACGTCTGTAAATCGCTCCCTGCATTGTCTGGATTACTCCGAAAACCCAAATTTTCAAAAAATCAGCGGAGTCTAGTCGAAACAGCGTTATGGAGCCAAAAATTGCTGCAATTTTCTGGATATTACCTCTTTACATTTATGTAACTTGGATGCTGAGCAGCTAGAATGATTTATTGCATGCTACTTTCCTCCTAATTGAAAGTTCTGTGAAATTATGTGAAAAAATGAACGAGCATTTGGAGAAATCTGATTTAAAAATTTGTGTTTCAAGTGCAATACTTAAGGGCAGCGGCTCGGCAGAATGACAACTTTGGGATATTCATCGTTCTCGGTTCTTCCGGATGAGCTGAATCTAAGACTGTACTTTGCAGCTCGAAACGATATCAAAAACCCGCTTTTCCAGACATGAAAAGCGCTATTTGAGGGCGGACCGCGTAAGCCTGTCCTCGAGCGTGATTGGCTCGTGAGTACTGTAGGCACGGTATCTCCACTCACGAGCCAATCGCGCTCGAGGACAGGCTTACGCGGTCCGCCCTCAAATAGCGCTTTTCACGTCTGGAAGCGCGGGTTATTGATATCTTTTTAAGCTGCAAAGTACAGTCTTAGACTCAGCTCATCCAGGAGAACCTAGAACGAATATCCCAAATATGACATTCTGCCGAGCCGCTGTCTTTGAGTCAGTACCAATTTTCTTGGCCTGCTTTTGGTCCTTCTTGGGGTAGTGAGTGCTCAAGATACAGTATGTTTCAATTCGGAGTAGGCGAAACATTTGAAGCGGAGCAGCGCGTCCGGATCGCTGGAGGCATTGCGAACACCCCTGGCATTTGGTCAAGTAAAGACTGAGGATAATGAAGAGACGCAGGTATGGTTGGCACGACGTGACAGTATGTCAATACTGTAGCTGCGGAAAGCTGCGAACTGTTGCGAAGCGGATTCCCGCCAATCTAATTTCCGCCTAAAGATTGGAACTTACTGTACTATGCCCTACATAACTGGCTAAAGGCGGTTGCGGAAATTTTTAAGGTGCGGGGTGGGGGGGGGGAGAGAGCTGACATGAGCGAGTTTTTACATGAGCGCGCAGTTCAGCTATATCCTCTTTTTTTTTGGAAGTCTTTAACAGTTTCAAGCCTGTGATTTCCTCCCACTAATATTAAATTGCGCCTTCTTTCAACCTTTACACATGCTGTACCCTCTAAAAAGAAAGTAACTTACTTGAACAATTTTCGATGATTGCTGTAAGTCTGACACAATAGAGTCGAATAGGTCGCACAATACCTGAAAATTCAAACTAGGTCAATAGTTTTCCTTAGAATATTTCAATCTTTTTAGCCACAAACAACAGCTTTCATTATGCGCACAATGCCGCATGGATTCTTTCACTGACTTGAGCAAGCGCTTTCACAAAACTCGCGCAGTTTAGCCCCCTAAAGAAATTTCCTGCTATCCGGATATTTCAAGCTGCTTTTTGACTTGCTTGTTAATTCTTTTCAAGGGATGAAAAGGAGCGGCTAACACAATTTTGCGAGTTCCTCCCTCTGAAAACGTACGGCTCAAATTTCCTGAGCTTCAAAAGAGAACGAAAAAGCTGTTTAGTATACATTCAAGAAGCTGTCATGAAAGGTCAAGATCTTTACCAAGCAAATCAACTTTATGTTGGTCGTAAATATTGTTACACTTGGAAAAGAAGTTAGTTTAGGCAGAAGGTTGTTCACAGGCGCAAGTACAGGAAATTTCGCCTCTAATGTAGAAGAAGTTTAGAGAAGAGTTCAAAAGTTCGACAAATATGAATTTCCGCAAGACCCGTTCCGAGTCAAACCTTTTCCTCTCTGCCCATTCTTCTTTTCGCTGTTTGTGACTAAATTAAACGTCACAAAGGAGTCGCGAACCTTTGCGTGCATATTCAGGTCGCAGCACTGGTTTGTTCGAAATCCTTCAACAATAGACATTTTCTGGAACATTTCTCGGCTTTGTGTCGACTTGAAGCATAGTAATCTGTAAATCGAAGAGTACGGAAAACCTGTCAATTGTAAGAGAAATTGAAACCAACTTGAAAACTTGCGTGAAAGTAGAGGTTGATTTCAACTTTGACCATGTCGACTGTAGTAGTTGTATTTGATATCTGAAATTGGGTTCGTAAACGTCAACCCTACTACGCTATTCCATTTAGCACAAGAAATCGCTTATATGGAAGAATGCGCATAAAAGTCCGAGGCTGCTAAATTTGAAAAGCTTGATTTGGGGAGAAAATATCCTATAATTTCCTGGTTTGTTTCTGGAAGTTTTGAGTGAACTCGCTTTTCCTCAAATATACTAGAAGTTGTATAGTAAAACTCATTGGTTTTTAAATCAAATTCAAAAAAAACTTCCTGCAAAATTCAAAATCGCAAGCCAATCTAATAAGCAACTAATTCTGCGGGCGAGATACCGCATCGAACCAAAAAATGTTTGATCGCTTAGATGCTCAACGACATTCGAAAACATGATTTTTTTCAAGCATATCTTTGGATCAACTCCTCTAAATACTGTAACAAAAACAGGTCAACGCTTTAAAGATGGGAAAAAAAAAACAGGAAAAGGTATAGTTTCCAGCAACGCTTAATGAGACCAACAAGCATCGAAGCAATCAACCCATTTTGCTTGCAAAGCTGCTAGACAGCTTTAAATCAAGGCCTTCCTCAATAGAACGTCTTCTACGGACATGGAAGAATTAATGCTAAGGATGAGACAGCAATATCGTCTACTCCAATTAGAGGCAAAAAAAACCTATAAAAACGAGGCAAGAGGCTGAGATATGTCTTGCAGCTAAATCGGCGGTCCCGTAATTTTTTTTAGAAAGTCATAACATACTATATTATCAAGATTTTAATATGTAGGTTAAACTTAGTCTACAAGAAATTCTGACAATTTTGACCGAAAATTTTTTGATATTAAAATAAAAAAATAACATAACGGGCTCTCCTTCCTTACTGAGGAGTTCCGGGGAGAGACCGGAGTTCCTATACTCCGTCTAAGGGCAGGAACGAAAGGGAGCTAGGATATTTTTTTTACAAAGATGATTTTATATACAATTATAGCAAATTACACACTTTTGTGACTACTATTTCTATTGGCTAGACATATGATGTCATTAATTTGGTTTCTATATACTGTCTGTAATGTTGTTTGTGGAGAAGTTCTTGAAGAGATTTTGTTATTTGGCCCTCAGATAACATCTAAGCAATGCATTGTAAAGGAGCTTTGTCTTGACGATATGAAAATTAGCCAAATGGACGAGCAGAAAATGGCAAAAACAAAAGCAAAACTGACTGGGTCAACTTTAGCGAATCGGCGAGCGTGGATCCAGTCTCTCCGTTCTCCATCTGAACAGCAGCGCGACTTAGCCGTCGTCCTTGCTGATTGCCCATATCAGGTAACGCCGACAGCGAAAGCTTCGGCTTATAGTACCTAAAAAAATATCAAATTGAGTTAGCCATTTTGAGTTACCAATTTTTGATATCTGGGGAAATTATATATGATTGCGCAAGGATGAAGATGAGCAAATAAAACTCAACAGTAAATGGAGCAACGCAGTTTTAAGCTCTTAGGACCAGGAACTTATTCATTATTGACTAATGGAGACTATGTACATAAGAGCCGCATGACCAAAGATAATTCCAAATTCAAGTTACAGATGAAATAGAATATTTTACCTCCTACTTGCGCACAAAACCTCTGAAAATCTCAGGTTTCGACATGTTTCTTTTATTATCCGATCAATGATTTTGAAGAGCAAAAACAAAAACCAAATAATCACAATCTTAGCCTCTTCCTCCTGCACAAGCATCACTGAACCTCAACTACACAATGAAAACTCCGGAAAGCTTTTGACAGTCAAATTTGAATATGGACCCTTTAATTCAACCGGACTGGCGGCTGGAAGGCGCGGCTTTGAGTCCTAACCAAGTCTAGGAATGATCAGAGAGCATGCTCGCGAGAGAGATGCATACTGCGTGGCGGGCGCGAGAGGTCGCCTTTCAGCCGCCAATCCCTTTGAATCAAAGGGTAACTACCTTTGTAAAGGATAATATAGGTACTCGGCTAGAAGTCAAAATCGAATTTGCTGAACAAAACTGAGTTCAATCCAAAGCTGAAGGAATCAAGGGCCAAATGTATTCAAAAGGACAATGCATAGATGACAGCATCTAATATTTCTCGACTACGAAAGGTACTACGAATAGGGAGTTGTAACAAGCCTAATGCGTACTCAGAGAAAAGAGAAACACTACTCAATCAACTTTGCCCCTAAATCTTCCTCACTCGCATAGAACAGAACGACTTGAGAGCTAGCAGAAGGTCGAGAGCAGTAGTTATTTCTCGGTTTATGAAAAATAACATGAGTAGTGTTAGGCTGTGAAATAAGTCTTTCATATCTTATTTCTCGTCGAAATAACTCAGTTCTACTTATATTTCTAATATCTCCCAAAAGTTTGCACCGAGTTTGATTCGCATTAAGTTACTCCAAAAAAAAATCCCGAAGTCCCTGAAACGAAAATTATCGTATCCCACTTTAAAGTAAGTCTGCGAACCACTAGCTTACGCTGTATTTTCCCCATCAAATATTTACACACTTGCTGCACTTTTCTGCTGGCTAGAAATCAAGAAAAAATAATGCGCTGAATTTTCAAACTTTCCCCGTAGCGGTTCTGTGTTCCTCACAAATATGTGATTATATAACTTACACTTAGAAACACTGCCACATATTTGCACCCTTGCAGAATGCTCTAGTTCTTGAGAAATATCGGTTTGGAGGTTCGAATATGAAAAGACTTTTGGGACAATCCAATAGTAATATACGAAGTCCAAAAATAGCAAGAGCGTAACTGTTGAAGAAATTCATTTTTAATCAAGGAAAACACGAATAATGGTGATTTTATGATTTGCTAGTAGTGACACTTTTGCTTGCAAAGGCAGGTTACAGTCACTGAAAGTGAGATGAAAAGACGGATACTTCTCAAAATTGTACGAAGAGCACACAAAGAGGGTTTACCAAGGAAACGACATTTTTGCAATGCAGCTCGACGCCCACTTGTTTGAATAGCTTCTACGAGAGCAAAGGTAGAACAAGAACTAGCCTCCAGTATAGAGCCCTTAATAAGAGCAAATAACCTTCATAGGAAATCTTCCTAAAAAAGAAAGCTGAAAAGAATGCGGAGCATGGGAATTTCTGCGAGAAACTGGGAACGAAGTAGAAGAAAAATGGTTTTTGGAGGATTATCGGGTTACGGAAGTTCGGTTCTTAGTGGATGCAATTCACAGATGAACTGACATCACTGGTCGCAATGCAATTCACGATGACATCATGCTGGATGGGAAGTTTTCTGCTTTTTATGCAAAGCAGACGTGCTCGGGCTGTTGCTTGGATCGCTGAGAACCCGCACTGCATTGTTGATTTCATCCCCCCCCCCTTCGGGATTTATTTCTTTCCTTGTTGTACCTTGAGAACTACCTTTGCCTGGCAACCAGTGCGTGTAGGCTGATTTTGCATGCTTGGCGGGATGAATTGATAAGAGCATAGGTCTCGAGCCATTCGTATCTCATTATGTGAATCTGCACACTATGCGCTGTATTCGACGACGCCCTAGTTTTATTTTCAGCGAAAGTTCTCAAGGTGTAGGTACTATCAACTAATATATACTCATTTATTCAAAAGAAGCAGGGAAACCATTAAAAATGAGCAGATTCTAATCTTACATTTCGTCAAGTAGCGCACACTGTGTGCAATACGCATATTAGGTTACAAATGACTCGGTGAACCGGGAATGACGCACGAAAGAGCAAGTCAATATTCTACAAAAATTCCCCAAACAGAAGAAATATGAATATTTAAGCTAGAAACGCTTGCATATTCAAAAGATGAATATAATGGATAATAGCAAAAGGCGCTTTTTGCACAGCCCATAAAATTTGCGGCATTCGATAGAGCTGCTCTTTCATTCCAGTGTCGAAAACAAAATTGCGAACGGAGGCGACTGAATGGATGAAAATGCATCGACCAAGGCTTTGGATTTAGAAGCTTGCAGCATTTTAGTTATACAAAATACTTGATGTTGACAAGGAGATGAAGAGAGGGATGGAAGAGAAAGGGAGAGAATGGGGGAGGATGGAGAGAAGGAGGGACAGGAAAGGTGTTCCGAGGCACGGGAAGAAGAAGAAAGTTGCTCGGCATTCAACAACAACGGCTACACTATGGGATATTTATGTCATTTGAATAGTACTCGAAATCTTATCAAGGTTCATCTGCACTTTTCGAAATCGAAAGAAGAATAAAAGATTTTTTCAAGGTCATCCGTTCGTGGATGAAAACACAAAAACCATATGTTTTCAGGATATAGAAAGAGAATGAAGTGTTGTACTTAGATGATTTATCTTCCACTCATTTATAACTTAATTGTGAATCTGCACACTTTGCGCGGCAACCGACGACACACTTACTTGTAACTCTTCAGCAAAACCTTGTTTAGCGTAATGAACTGTGAAAGTGTGTTCTGCCGACTGAGACATATCTAATCAAATGAGAAAAGACAAGGGAACTTGGGGAAATCACTGGGAATGAGCAGGTTTTTTTTTCTGATCTTAAAAGTCGTCAAGTAGCGCGCATGATGTGCAGTACATTAAGTTACAAAAGACTCGGTTATACATGTAATAACCATGCGTCCAGAAAGTGAATCTGACATAAAAAGATTTACTGTGCACACTACTTTGTGCAATTATACACACTGTCCACATTGCGAGTAATATCCAAGTTCGCTGACTAAGAAGCGCATATCAAAAATGTCTTTCTAGTGACGTCCTTTCTTTTTGTTTCAGGAAATGGCGCAACATTGAAAGAATTGTATGCAAAGCTCAAAGTAATGTTAATGACGTATGCATTTGCAAATATTACGTATGAAAAGACCCAATGAGCAATTAGAGAAAGAATATTCGAACATACGTCAATTATTCACTCTGTGTAAGTAGCGGAATGTCCATACATTCCCAGTCCTCTCCAAGTTTCGACAAGAATGCAGGATTTCGGCAGAATCAGCATGTTTTTAAAGCACATATTTAGAAAGGAATCAACATTTACTGGCGCATTTGGCGAGCTTAAAAGGAGTGGAAGTCAATATGCAAATAGCTGTGAGACATTGCGAGAAAATCCATGCTAAGCGTGAGAATCTAAACTAACTTAGCAATAAAAAGTGTTCACAATTTCTCAGCGAACTCTGAATGGGGTATGCTAGATAGTCTTAAAAAAGGTTCAAAAAAATGGTTCTGCACCGTTCCTCTCAGAAAATCAAAGTCTTCGATAGCAGAGTCTGGGAAGTAGGTAAAAGAAATAGGGATAGAATATGTGAGGCAAACTGAATGTGCTGAGAGTTGATCACTATGGGCACAAGATAAATATATGGGAAAGGTCAGAAAGACCCATTCGCATGCATATATTGTGATTTTACGTAAAAGTCGTTGTTTTCATGTTTTCATATTTGTTTCAAGAGTGACTGCCTAATGACGGCAGTGAAGGTTCTGAAAGAGTATTATTATTATAATCAGTTTTCGAAAACAAGTATAAACCAGCAACTGAATATGAGCAAAAAAATTATGAATATTGCCAAAAAGCTTGCATAATTTCACTTTCATTCTTGCCTCTGACAAAAGAATTATTTCTAGTTCTGTTATTTTTAAAATCCTCCTTGCTTGTAACCTGGACACTGTATCATTGCTAAAACCCGTGCGGCACAGAATTATGGAAGCTATAACTAAAATTCATATAGCCTAGTAAATGTAACAGAGCCCCTGCGGTGACGACAACATTTGCGCGAAAATAAACCATGCTTTTACAAACAACCTGCTGGTGACTTGCACTCAAAGGTGGCCATATAGCTCACAATTTACGCGCAAAGTTTGTCACCAACGCAAGAACACCATATTATTTATCAAGTGACAACTATAAGCTTTTTCTAAACTTCATTCTTTACTAGGTCATCTTCAACTAAAGCCCTTTTGAGGAAAAATGTTCTAACATTCACATTTTTCCCGGATCTTGAGCTGGTTTTCTGATAAGCATTTTTAGAAGCTTTGACTTTCTTGTCGATTGACATCAAACTCTATCAAAAAGCAATATTTCATGATGATGCAAATTACCGATAATTCATGGAAAAGTATGAAATCGAATCGTCGTCGGCTCAAAGTAGAAGGAAAGTTACAAACAACCACAGCTTAAGGGGACAAGAGGCGAAACAGGACTATTTTTCCTAACAGAATTTTCTTAATTAATATCTCTAATTACGAAAGAATACGAAGTGATCCAGCCGTTTGTAGCGATTTATACACGGTTCATTTCCCTAGAACGCTCAGCTTAGATTAGATCTGCATTCGCTATCTGCGCGTATTGACGAACCCGCCTTGGAAATGTCGAAAAAACCCTA